TCGCGGCCACGGGACGAGAGGGGTGCAACTCCATCGTCGCGGCCACGGGACGAGAGGGGTGCAACTCCATCGTCGCGGCCACGGGACGAGAGGGGTGCAACTCCATCGTCGCGGCCACGGGACGAGAGGGGTGCAACTCCATCGTCGCGGCCACGGGGACGAGAGGGGTGCAACTCCATCGTCGCGGCCACGGGACGAGAGGGGTGCAACTCCATCGTCGCGGCCACGGGACGAGAGGGGTGCAACTCCATCGTCGCGGCCACGGGACGAGAGGGGTGCAACTCCATCGTCGCGGCCACGGGACGAGAGGGGTGCAACTCCATCGTCGCGGCCACGGGACGAGAGGGGTGCAACTCCATCGTCGCGGCCACGGGACGAGAGGGGTGCAACTCCATCGTCGCGGCCACGGGACGAGAGGGGTGCAACTCCATATTCGCGGCCATGTCATGGGGCAACTCCATATTAATGGCTATGGAGGGGAAGGGGCACATTGGGGAGGACCTGCAACCTATACCACAGAAGCAGCTCACAGCTCATGAATGGGGGGGGGGCAATTTGACCTTTTGGTCCTGGGTGCTAGAGGCCCTTGCCCCCTCCCTGAGTGACACTTATGCTAAAATTTGTCGTTTCTCCCAAAAGGATCTAAATCTACACCACAGAAATTGTGCGCACACTGCGGCTGTATGTGATGCTGCATGGCAAGTCCTGACCGTCGTAATACATTAATGACACAGCCCATCCCCAATCACAGCCCCGCCTCCATCCGCCTCTCACACCGCCATGCAGGGAGACGTGGGCAGGAGCGATGTCAATTCACAGGAAGACTCACCAGGCCGGCGGTCAGCGACGGGGCCGACTGACCCAGAGATTGGTTCCTCATCCGGACCAGATTGGAGGATTCCCCTGGCGGCTGCCATGTTATCTGGCCCACACCGCTGTGCACGCTGTTAGAGAGCGGAAGGAGCTGTTTTCCTGGAAGAAAAATAAAATTCCGTCAGATGATGACCAAAGAGGACACAATGGGGGGAGATTTACTAAAATGTGGAGCACTCAGAACCCGGAGCGGCTGTGCATGGCGGCCAATCAGCTTCTAGCTTCAGCTGGTTCAATGAAGCTTTAACAATAAAACCTGGAAGCCGATTGGTTCCTATGCAGAGCTGCACCGCTGTGCGCCGGTGTTAGTAAATAACCCTCAATGTCTGCATACACCGAAGCTGGACAGATGCTACAGAATCCAGACTGAAGGGAAACCACGAAGTCCGACACGTAGAACCGAAAACAAAAAAAAAAATATTATTAGTTTTGGGTGGAGTGGAGATGGAATTGGACCCCCTGTCAGGTTTTTATTGCTGGCTGTTAGGGAGACTCAGCTTCTCTATTCATCCTTTTTTTACCGATACCACGGAGAGTGAAAGAAAATCCCAAATTTTGGGTTGTCACCAGAAAAGGAAAAGAGGGGAATTCTTCCAGTTATTATTATTATTATACAGGATTTATGGCGCCAACAGTTTGCTCAGCGCTGTACAATATAAGGGGGGCGGTACAATTACAATACATTTCAGTACAGATGGAATAGGAGGGCCCGGCTCATGGAGCTTACACTCTAAAGGAAGGGGGAGGGGATACAAAGGTGATCGCTGCGGGGGAGGATCTGGTGGAGGTGATTCAAGTACAGTTCTTAGGTGGAGGTGGGGTAGGCTTCCCTGAAGAAGTGAGTTTTCAAAGATTACCTAAAGGCAGACAGGGTGGGGGCTGACTGGACATGCTGTGGTAGGGAGTTCCAGAGGATGGGAGAGGCTCTGGAGAAGTCCTGGAAGCCAGCGTGGGAGGAGGTGATGAGGGAGCTAGAGAGGAGGATATCATGGGAGGAGCGGAGCGGGCAATTTCTGTGGATGAGGTTGGTGATGTAGCCGGGGCGGTGTTGTGGATGGCTTTGTAAGCTGTGGTTAGTATTTTGAATTTTATACGTTAGGTTAGTTGAGGCCAGTGGAGGGATTGGCAGAGAGGGGTGGAGGACACTGAATGGAGGCCAGTGGAGGGACTGGCAGAGAGGGGTGGAGGACACTGAGTGGAGGCCAGTGGAGGGATTGGCAGAGAGGGGTGGAGGACACTGAGTGGAGGCCAGTGGAGGGATTGGCAGAGAGGGGTGGAGGACACTGAGTGGAGGACAGTGGAGGGATTGGCAGAGAGGGGTGGAGGACACTGAGTGGAGGCCAGTGGAGGGATTGGCAGAGAGGGGTGGAGGACACTGAGTGGAGGCCAGTGGAGGGATTGGCAGAGAGGGATGGAGGACACTGATCGGTTGGTAAGGTGGAGGAGTCTAGCAGCAGCATTCATAATAGACTGAAGGGGGGATAACCTGTGTAACGGTAGACCAGTGAGGAGGGAGTTGCAGTAATGGAGGCGGGATATAACCAAGACATGGATAAGTTGTTTTGTGGTGTCATTGGTCAGGAAGGGGCGGATTTTGGAGATGTTCCGGCGGTTGAGGCGGCAGGATTTATCCAGTGATTGGATGTGGGGCCCAAAGGAGAGGTCAGAGTCTAGGATTACGCCCTGCACCCTGACATGAGGGGAAGGACCAATGGTTGTGCTGTTGATCTTAATGGTAAAGTCATGAGTGGGGGATCGGGGGGAGGAAATATTACAGCTCAGTTTTTGAAAGTGTCCTTCTAACCAGGACACTAGTCAGGTGACCTGTATTGGCTCAGTGACCAAGGCCAGCCATACATGGGTCGAAAAGCCACAGATTTTTCAGACTAAGAATAATCGGCCGATTTTCGCTGTTAGTAGGGCCAATGGCACTGGCTGATTTTCGTGGCTCCTCTCCTTTTCGGTGATCGGGCATGTTGGAAAATTCATGAAAAACTACCGATTTTCGACTCAACGATGGTCAAATTGTACAATCATTTTTCCGAAAAGAATATGAGCCATGACCTGGAACTGAAGTTTCGCCTGTTATATGGGGTGAACTTTATGACTCGGTCGGTCAATTTTCAAAATCATCGATGGCGCCATCGGATTACCGAGCGAACGACGTTTCCAATTTTCGGACAAAAAATCGTTCGGAATGCGACTCACGTGTGGCCTGCACAAGTCTTTCATTCTTACTGACACCGGACTACCTCTATATCTGGGTGAGGGGTTCTCAGGAGGGAGCTTCAGTCTCAGATTCCTGCAGGATGAATGTATTCATAGCAAAACCCCAGGGAAGCCACGAGGGACGATTCACACCAGCGGCTGGAGGTGAAAGGTCACCTGTATGCAGGGTGTAACACGGGACATTACTATAGGGCCCGCATCCCCCACCCAACCCTTCATTGTGGCAACAGGCAGGGGATCCTCTCCCCACACCCGCTGTCACAAGAGCGGCTGTGCACGGCTCCGCCCAAAAAGCTGCGTCGTTCGTTCTTTGCTACTTGTGAATGAACGAACTACAACTCCCATCTGCCACTGCGGCAGACGGCATGTAGTTCTCAATGAACTGGAAGGGTGATGGTGAGCGCTCTCGTAGTTCATTCATCTTCCTGCTTTTTAACCGCCTCCCGCCTGCCATATAAGGAAATGACGGGTGCAAGCCGGTCCTCTCATTCTGGGAGGACGTCATGACGTCCTCCGACTAACCGCCCTGGGTGGGGGCGCGCAGGCGCGCGGTGATCGGTGGTGTGCTGTGTCCCACGGACACAGCGGATCAACGATCAACGGAAAGAGCCGATGACGTCGGCTCTGTCATGTGATCAGTGGTGTCCAATCACAGCGGATCGCATGTAAATAGGGAAATGCTGGTTATCGGCATTCCTCTCCTCACGAGCAGTCACGCTGACAGAGGAGAAGAGCGCAGAGCCGGTAATCGGCATTCCGCGGAAGGGACATGTACAGTGATCATCAGTGTAGCCCCATCAGTGCCACCTGCCAGTGTCCATCAGTGCCACCTGCCAGTGCCCGTCAGTGCACATCAATGCCACATATCAGTGCCCATCTGAGCTGCCATTCAGTGCCGCCCATCAGTAAAATATATGAGTGCTGCCTTGCAGTGCCCATCAGTGATGCTTGTCAATGCCCATCAGTGCCACCTACCAGTGCCTCCTCATACCTGCCGCCTACCAGAGCCCATCAGTGCAGCCTATCAGTGCCTATCAGTGCCTATCAGTGCAGCCTATCAGTGCCTATCAGTGCAGCCTATCAGTGCCCATCACTGCAGCCTCATTAGCGCACATCAGTGAAGGAGAAAAATCACTGATTTACAAAATGTTATAACAGAAAGATAAAACTTTTTTTTTTTTTTTCCAAAAATTTTCAGTTGTTTTTGGTTTGTTTAGCAAAACAAACAAAAAAACCCCGAGGTGATTAAATACCACCAAAAGAAAGCTTTATCTGTCTCAAAAAAATAACAATTTCATATGGGTACAGTGTTGCATGACCGCGCAATTGTCATTCAAAGTGCGACAGCGCTGCAAGCTGAAAATTGGCCTGGGCAGGAAGGGGGTATAAGTGCCCTGTAGGCTAGTGGTTAATAAGTGTCTGCCCCTGCAGGAGGTACGGGCAGACAGCTGTGCTGACAGTCTGCAGGAGCCTGACACTGCACCTGCGATCTGCTGATCACAGTTGCAATGCTCTGCAGGCTCCTTAGGAGAAGAAAAAAAAAAAAAAAGGCACACCATCTTTTTTACCTGTGTATTAAAAGTGGGAGTGAACTCTTATCCTTTTACCTACAGGTACACTTATAACGCAGCTTACCTGTAGGAAAAAGGAATATCTCCTACAGGAGCGCCGTTTAGGAGATATTCTAGTGAGCGGCATCCGGCGACATCGCCTGCGCATGCGCTCTGAAGGAATGCCATACCCGTGCCATTCCTTCAGATCTGTGTGCCACCACCGAGATTCGCGGGAGTGACATCATTGTGGCTTCGGCCATTCAAGCGGCCGAAGCCCTGGAACCCGGGAGGAAGAACAGCTGAAGATGGAAGCCTCTGCAGCGATGACAGAGTGACACTGGATGGCTTCCCGTCCAGCTCATGTACATAAACGGCCGGACAGGAGCAGTGCAGGAGCGGGTTGTCATTCGTAAACGGTGCCCGCATTAACAGCCTGAGCGCGCTCCCTGGGAGCACGTGGCACCGCGATCCAGACACAGCGGAACACCGATCATCATACAGGACCTCTGTGTGAGGTCCCGATCATGTGATCACAGATTGGCTAAATCAGTGGTCACATGGCTAAATCAGTGGTCACATGAACAGTAGTAAACAAGATGTCGCTTCTGACATCATTGCTTACTACGTGTGAAATCTGTGAATGATCACCGAGGTCACATGGTACAGGGCTATTCACAACAGCTTGTACCATGTGACAAGCTGTGACCAATCACAGCTCACACAGTATTTCTCAATGGCTGCAAGAATGCAGCCAGAGAGAAGGAGAAATGATTGCTTTTACAGCCTTTATGGGTATAAAAGCAATCCGTGTAAAAAAAAAAAAAAAAAAAAATCTTCATCACCCCCCACAAGTAGTACAGTGTCACACTTTTTTTCTAAATTTTTTAACTTTTTCATTTATATAGCAAAAAAAAATAAAAATAAAAAATCCCAGTTGTGAATAAATACCACCAAAATAAAGTTTTATCGGTCTCACAAAAATAAGTGTCCGGACTGGAAGGGGGGGGGGCGAAATGCCTGGACTGGAAGGGGGGGGGCCGAAGTGTCTGGACTGGAAGGGGGGGGGCTGAAGTGTCTGGACTGGAAGGGGGGGAGGCCGAAGTGTCTGGACTAGAAGGGGGGGAGGCCGAAGTGTCTGGACTGGAAGGGGGGGGGCCGAAGTGTCTGGACTGGAAGGGGGGGGGCCCGAAGTGTCTGGACTGGAAGGGGGGGGGCCCGAAGTGTCTGGACTGGAAGGGGGGGGGGCCCGAAGTGTCTTGGACTGGAAGGGGGGGGGGTTTGGGGCAAGTGTCTGGACTGGAGGGGGGGGGGTTTGGGGGAAGTGTCTGGACTGGAAGGGGGGGGGGTTTTGGGGGGAGGAAGTGTCTGGACTGGAAGGGGGGGGCGGGGGGGGGGGGTTTGGGGCAAGTGTCTGGACTGGAAGGGGGGGGGGGTTTGGGGGAAGTGTCTGGACTGGAAGAAAAGGGGGGGGGGTTTGGGGGAAGTATCTGGACTGGAAGGGGGGGGGGTAAGTGTCCAGACTAGAAGGGGGGGGGGTTTGTGTCCGGACTGGGAAGGGGGGGGGGGGGGGGGTTTGTGTCTGGACTGGAAGGGGGGGGGGTTTGTGTCCGGACTGGAGGAGGGGGGGGGGGGGGGGTTTGTGTCCCGGACTGGAAGGGGGGGGGGGTTTGTTTTGTGTCCGGACTGGAAGGGGGGGGGGGTTTGTGTCCGGACTGGAAGGGGGGGGGGGCGGGGTTTGTGTGGAAGTGGTTAAAGGTAAGTATTTCATAATGTTCTAGTATACGATGCTTTTACCTTGCAAGGGAAAACTTTTTTTTTTTCTACGGCTTTATTTTTTTTCTGTGAAAGTGAACTTATCCTATTAAAATGCAAACGCTGGCGTGCGGCAGGATGACAGCAGTACACAGCATGGGGTTTTGTTTTTTTTCCTTTCTAAACAAAGGGTTGAGGAAAAAGATGGCAAAAATATTAGTATTATCATTTATAAATAATAATAATAAAGAGTATACAAATGTGACAAGTTTCTACGGTAATTGAATGCGATTTAAAAATGACCTTTCCTTTTTCAGCCCGGGTTCACATATATGTGATATATCGCATGCGATTCGTAAAGGAACCACACCGCAGTCCTGTGCAGATCACATGCGATTTGTGTGCGGTGCGATTTCAGCCGTATTTATTTTCTATGGTTCTAATCGCACCGCACTAAAAACATGCAGGACCCTTTTTTTGGTCCGCACTAGAATCGGATCCCATCAGTATTCACACCTATGCGATCCGATTCTGCGCATCGCACCGCGTTTTGCGGACCGCTTCGGGGGGTGGTTAACATACACACCCGCAGCGGTTCACATGAACGGGGTGCGATCTTGATGCGGTGCAGAATTGGCACAGAAAACGCTGAGAATTGTGCGCCGCGTCAGTGTGACCCCGGGCTCAAGGCGGTGCATTGAGTTGCACTGTGCTGCAGTGAAATATGCAGTGCGAGGACACGCGATACTTTCCTTCAGTGCGCATCACCTCATCATGGGTGGGTGTAATCCAGCCAGGCATTGTACTGCACGGGAAATAGCCGCCTAATGCAGTCCCACCCGCATGTAGTGTGAATGGGCCCCGGCACTGCTGTGGGTTCTTACGGTGGACTTCCTGATGAAGAAGACTGACCCAGAAGACCTCAGGGATAAAACACGAGTCTTCCTTTCCCATCCAGTAAATGATTGACAGCAGGATGGCCGCGCCTCCATCAGATAAGATTTTATGGCCTGGCGGGTGAATACCACATCCTCACCCCGGGCCACATTAACTCCGTCACACCCAGAACAGATGATAAACCCGCCAATAAACCTGGATTCACACGTGTCATGGGGAAGGGTAATAATGCTCCAGCCCCCCCCCCCCATGCGATTACAGGAAACATGCAGGTAAGGAGGTCTGCCATCCATTCCACCCTGAGATTTACATGAATGTGAGGCATGGAAGGTGGTGGTGAGAGGTTTTGCTTGCTGTGGGATTTGATGATCGAAGTAAATTCACTTCACGGGATCTATGAGCCCGAACGAACGTTTACTTTGCTGAGTGAACATCCGGCACTCCTTTAGTAAATCGTCTCCAGCGTGTGCAGTCCGGGAGTGCCTCCAACCATTGCTGAGCACAGATGTGTCCGGACCTGTTCAGTCATCCGGTGTGAACAAGGACTGAACATCTGGACAAGTCGAATTTCCTCCAGAAAAAATATAAAATCCCCTCAAAATCACCCATAAACAAATGGAGACCCGCCCCGTACAGAACATCCCGGATAATTGGTACCAGGCCCCCCCCAACCATGGAGAACACAACCCATCTGAACCTCGTTAGATCTGTTTACATCAGGAAATGAGCAGAATGTGAAAGTTGTCCAATGAATCGTCCGGATTAAATGCCAAATCGTTCCTCTCCAGACGCCCCGAGTGTAGCGGCACACCCGGGAATCGGCTGAAGGTGATGAACACGAGAAGGACGAACGGCACAGGAGAGTTCTGCAGGAGCTGTACAGGGCGGAGCCGTGCCCCCATACGACAGGACTGTACAGGGCGGAGCCGTGCCGCCATACGACAGGACTGTACAGGGCGGCAGCCGTGCCGTTATACGACAGGACTGTACAGGGCGGAGCATGCCACCGTACAATGACAGGACTGTACAGGGCGGAGCCGTGCCCCCCATACGACAGGACTGTACAGGGCGGAGCCGTGCCCCCATACGACAGGACTGTACAGGGCGGAGCCGTGCCACCATACAATGACAGGACTGTACAGGGCGGAGCCGTGCCACCATACAATGACAGGACTGTACAGGGCGGAGCCGTGCCACCATACAATGACAGGACTGTACAGGGCGGAGCCGTGCCACCATACAATGACAGGACTGTACAGGGCGGAGCCGTGCCCACCATACAATGACAGGACTGTACAGGGCGGAGCCGTGCCACCATACAATGACAGGACTGTACAGGGCGGATGCCGTGCCACCATACAAATGACAGGACTGTACAGGGCGGAGCCGTGCCACCATATGACAGGCCTGTACAGGGCGGAGCCGTGCCCCATGACAGGACTGTACAGGGCGGAGCCGTGCCCCCATATGACAGGACTGTACAGGGCGGAGCCGTGCCCCCATATGACAGGACTGTACAGGGCGGAAGCCGTGCCCCCATAACGACAGGACTGTACAGGGCGGAGCCGTGCCCCCATACGACAGGACTGTACAGGGCGGAGCCGTGCCCCCATACGACAGGACTGTACAGGGCGGAGCCGTGCCACCATACAATGACAGGACTGTACAGGGCGGAGCCGTGCCGCCATACGACAGGACTGTACAGGGCAGAGCCGTGCCACCATACGACAGGACTGCACAGGCAGGAGCTGTGCCCCCATGACAGGACTGTACAGGGCGGAGCCGTGCCGTGCCATATCGACACACTGTACAGGGCGGAGCCGTGCCCCCATACGACAGGACTGTACAGGGCGGAGCCGTGCCACCATACAATGACACACTGTACAGGGCGGAGCCGTGCCCCCATATGACAGGACTGTACAGGGCGGAGCCGTGCCACCATACGACACACTGTACAGGGCGGAGCCGTGCCCCCATACGACAGGACTGTACAGGGCGGAGCCGTGCCCCCATATGACAGGACTGTACAGGGCGGAGCCGTGCCACCATATGACAGGACTGTACAGGGCGGAGCCGTGCCACCATATGACAGGACTGTACAGGGCGGAGCCGTGCCCCCATATGACAGGACTGTACAGGGTGGAGCCGTTGCCCCCATATGACAGGAACTGTACAGGGCGGAGCCGTGCCGCCACACAATGACAGGACTGTACAGGGCGGAGCCGTGCCCCCATATGACAGGACTGTACAGGGCGGAGCCGTGCCCCCATATGACAGGACTGTACAGGGCGGAGCCGTGCCCCCATGACAGGACTGTACAGGGCGGAGCCGTGCCGCCATACAATGACAGGACTGTACAGGGCGGAGCCGTGCCGCCATACAATGACAGGACTGTACAGGGCGGAGCCGTGCCGCCATACAATGACAGGACTGTACAGGGCGGAGCCGTGCCGCCATACAATGACAGGACTGTACAGGGCGGAGCCGTGCCGCCATACAATGACAGGACTGTACAGGGCGGAGCCCGTGCCGCCATACAATGACAGGACTGTACAGGGCGGAGCCGTGCCGCCATACAATGACAGGACTGTACAGGGCGGAGCCGTGCCGCCATACAATGACAGGACTGTACAGGGCGGAGCCGTGCCCCCCATACAATGACAGGACTGTACAGGGCCGAGCCGTGCCACCATACAACAGGACTGTACAGGGCCGAGCCGTGCCACCATACGACAGGACTGTACAGGGCCGAGCCGTGCCACCATACAATGACAGGACTGTACAGGGCGGAGCCGTGCCACCATACAACGACAGGACTGTACAGGGCGGAGCCGTGCCACCATACAATGACAGGACTGTACAGGGCGGAGCCGTGCCACAATGACAGGACTGTACAGGGCGGAGCCGTGCCGCCGTACAATGACAGGACTGTACAGGGCGGAGCCGTGCCCCATATGACAGGACTGTACAGGGCGGAGCCGTGCCCCCATACAATGACAGGACTGTACAGGGCGGAGCCGTGCCACCATACAATGACAGGACTGTACAGGGCGGAGCCGTGCCCCCATATGCCTGAATGGCCTCAGTGACAGTTTATGAAGGGGAGGCGGCACAGAACAGGTCAGAGACACAAATCACCACACTACAGAGACCACTCACCCGCTAGTGTCCCGGTCAGGCTTCCTCTGCGGAGTTTGCAGTCATCCTGGCTCAGCTGGCGGTGTAGCTTCACCTTCCCCGAAGAAGAGAAGAGGTCGGGATTGCTCAGTTTTTCTGAATAGCAGCGGAGCCGGTGGAGGCGCATTATCCTGCAACATAGAGATCTATGCGTCAGACATGTCAGGAACAGAATTCTGCATCTTCTACATTCCAGGGACAGAGCTACGTCCCAGCGACACCAATCCCCACCCAGCAAGGAGGTTCTGTCCTCCACACAGGCTACCACACATGAAGGATATCATCCAACAAAGGAAAAGGACAGAAAATACACCAAATGACATTTTCCTGACTGTCTTGGGGTCCAATAAATGAAATTTGGAAATAAACAGAGAAGCATTTAGTCTGACAAACATATTATAGGACAGATGGGAAGAAGCAGCTGAGATATGAGCGGGACCCCTCTGTCCTCGTACGGGATCAGCCATGAGCGGGACCCCTCTGTCCTCGTATGGGATCAGCCATGAGCGGGACCCTCTGTCCTCGTATGGGATCAGCCATGAGCGGGACCCCTCTGTCCTCGTATGGGATCAGCCATGAGCGGGACCCCTCTGTCCTCGTATGGGATCAGCCATGAGCGGGACCCCTCTGTCCTCGTATGGGATCAGCCATGAGCGGGACCCTCTGTCCTCGTATGGGATCAGCCATGAGCGGGACCCCTCTGTCCTCGTATGGGATTCAGCCATGAGCGGGGACCCCTCTGTCCTCGTATGGGATCAGCCATGAGCGGGACCCCTCTGTCCTCGTAGGGATCAGCCATGAGCGGAGTGTTCCCCTCTGTCCTCGTATGGGATCAGCCATGAGCGGGACCCCTCTGTCCTGTATTGGAATCAGCCATGAGCGGGGGACCCCTCTGTCCTCGTATTGGAATCAGCCACTTGAGCGGGACCCCTCTGTCCTCGTATTGGAATCAGCCATGAGCGGGACCCCCTCTGTCCTCGTATGGGATCAGCCATGAGCGGGACCCCTGACTCGTATGGGATCAGCCAGGAGCGGGACCCCTCTGTCCTCGTATGGGATCAGCCATGAGCGGGACCCCTCTGTCCTCGTATGGGATCAGCATGAGCGGGACCCCCCTCTGTCCTCGTACGGGATCAGCCATGAGCGGGGACCCCTCTTCTGTCCTCGTACGGGATCAGCCATGAGCGGGACCCCTCTGTCCTCGTACGGGATCAGCCATGAGCGGGGACCCTCTGTCCTCGTACGGGATCAGCCATGAGCGGGACCCCTCTGTCCTCGTATGGGATCAGGCCATGAGCGGGACCCCTCTGTCCTCGTATGGGATCAGCCATGAGCGGGGACCCCTCTGTCCTCGTATGGGATCAGCCATGAGCGGGACCCCTCTGTCCTCGTATGGGATCAGCCATGAGCGGGACCCCTCTGTCCTCGTATGGGATCAGCCATCTCTCCTGTGATAGAAGTCCAGCAGTGACATTCTGCAGCATTGCCAACAACACAATTCTACCAATAAATTCCAAACACACAGAGAAATGTACGGGGCGAGCCCTCAGTAGTATCTATATCCGGCAGCGGTCCTAGCGTAGGGGACCCTGCCTTAACCATCTTCCACCCGGCGTTGTATATAAACGCCTGGAGGGTGACAGTGCAGGGGTGGCTGGCCGTTTATAAACAGGTAAAAGGATAAAAAGGTCCCCCGATCATGTGATCACTGATTGGCCAATCACTGGTCACATGCAGAGTAGTAAGCAAGATGTCACTTCTGACAGCATTGCTTACTACCTGTGAGATCTGTGAATGATCACAGAGGTCACATGGTACAGGGTTATTCACAACAGCCTTGTACCATGTGACAAGCTGTGACCAATCACAGCTCATTCAGTATTTCTCAATGGCTGCAAGAATGCAGACAGAGAGGAGAAATGATTCCTCTTACAGCTTTATGGGTGTAAAAGCAATCAGTAAAAAAAAAAAAATAATAATAAAATAAAATCATCACCCCCCCACAAGTATTACAGTGTCACACTTTTTTTTCTAAATTTTTGAACCCGTGTCACCGTGGTTATTTATTTCTTTTTTTTACTAAAGATAATGAAATACATTTTGGCCAAAATTTATGATGAAATATTATTTAATTTTCAAAATATTATAAGAAAAAACACTATTTTTCAAAATTTTTGGACTTTTCATTTAATAGCAAAAAAAAATAAAAAATCAGTGAAGGAGAAAAATCACTTATTTATAAAAATGTTATAACAAAGAAAAAAAATTTTTTTTTTTCAAAATTTTCAGTTGTTTTTGGTTTGTTTAGCAAACATAAAAATCCCAGTGGAGATTACCGTAAATACCACCAAAAACAAAGCTTTATCTGTCTCAAAAAAATTCATATGGGTACAGTGTTGCATGACCGCGCAATTGTCATTCAAAGTGTAAAAGCGCTGAAAGCTGAAAATGTCTGGACTACAGAGGGGGGGGGGGGTGAAAGTGTCAGGATACATGCGTCAGAGGGGGGGGGGTGAAAGTGTCCGGACTGGTAGGGGGACGGGGGGGAGGAATGAAAGTGTCCGAAGTGGTAATTTTTTTGGGGGGGGTTGAAAGTGTCCGGATGGTAGGGGGGGGGGGGGGGGGGGGGGGTGAAAGTGTCACGGATTTGGGGGGGGGGGTTACATAGTGTCCCAGTGCAGTGGTGGGGGGGGGGGGGTGAATCTTGGTTTGTGTCAGGGACACTGGTGGGGTGGGGGGGGAAAAAAAAAATGAAAGTGTTTTTTGGGGGGGGGGGGGGGGGGGGTTGAAAGTTCCGGAACTTCATGGGGGGGGGGGTTGGTGACAATGGGACCATTGAAAAGTGTACATGGTGGGGGGAACTGGGGTGAAAGTGGTCCCAGGATTTATTTATGGTGGGGGGGGGGGGTGAAAAGTGTTTTTTTTTGGTGGGGGGTGGGGGCCTTATGGTCCAAAAGAATGGGGGGGGCGGGGGGCGGGGGGGTGAAAGTGTGGGACTGGTGGGGGGGGGGGGGGTGAATGGTGAATCGTGTCCCGGATTGGTGGGGTTTTTGGGGGGGGGGTTTTTTTTGAAAAGTGTACTGGTGGGGATGGGGGGGGGGGTCACAAAGTGTCCGGGACCTGGTGGGAGGGGGGGGTGTAGACACTAGGGGGGCATGAAAAGTGCCATCCATTGGTGTGTCATGAGACCTGGTGATTGAAAGTGTCCGGACTGTGGGGGGGGGGGGGTGAAAGTGTCCGGACTGGTGTGGGGGGGGGTGAAAGTGTGACAGACTGCGCCGCTGGGGGGGGTGAAAGTGTCCGGACTGTTAGGGGGGTGTGAAAGTGTCCGGAACTGGGGGGGGGGGTGAAAGTGTCCGGACTGCCAAGGGGGGGGTGAAAGGTGTCCGGGACTGGAAGGGGGGGGGGTGAAAGGTGTCCGGACTGGAAGGGGGGGGTGAAAGTGTGAAAATTCCTCATGTGGGGAACATTACCTTAATTCTCTGATGAAAGTGTCGGACTGGACTAGTTACTAAAGGCTCTTTTGAAAGATGTCAGGACTGGAAGAAAAAAAAAGTGTCCGGACTGGAAGGGGGGGGGTTGAAAGTGTCCGGACTGGAAGGGGGGGTGTGATATTTTGAAAGTGCCCCCGCTACTTAAGGGAGGGGGCTATTGTACCGGTTGGAAATAAATGACATAATAAAGCCATGTTATAACTGGGGTGTTTTTATATTTTGGACTCTTTATTCTAAAGAAAAAGTATATTTCGGACTGGAAGGAGGGGGTGAAAGTGTCCGGATGGAAGGGGGGGGTGAAAGTGTCCGGACCTGGGCAAGGGGGGGGTGGGGCAACTACTGGTGGAGATCTGGGAAGGTTTGTGGGCTAGTTGTGTAGAACTCGAAATTTTAAGTCCTAGCCTAGGCGAATCGGACCAGAAAGTGGGACCTGGTCAGGGGGGTGTTACAAATGTCGGTACCCGACAAAATTCGGGTACCGCTGCTCCCCAAGAGGACGTGCCAATCCTTAATAGGAAGCCCGGAGGAGCAGTCCTTAAAGCGGAACTTCCCCTTTTGGGTGGAGCTCCGCCTTAAGCCTGTGCCGTGCCCTTACCTACATGAAGGCTCTGTTCCCACTATTGCGACTTGTCACGCAATTTCAGACTGTGACTATCGTGTGCAAACTTTACGCTCTCTTAGTATTCAAGCGTCACAAGAAAGTCTCCAGGAGTAGTGCAGGAACCTTTTCAAAGTCGCATAGACTGGAAATGTGGTGCCATTGAAATCAATGGGCTGTGACTTGTCATGTGACTTTATGTCATTCAAAGTCGCATGACAAGTCGCACTAATAGGGAATGGAGCCCTAAAGGTTGACACACGGGTGTTTGGCAATTCCGCCCGCAATCCCAAAACGCTCTGCAAAACTGACAAAAAAAAAATCGCACCACGCTTGTTTCAGGCGCCATTTCACGGTCGACGGCACCTAAAAGGTGGGTGCGGTTCCTGCTGGCTGAGACTATTGTGTGCAACATCGTGCCGCAGGTCCATGCCAACCTGCATCACGCAAAGCTTGTCGCTCAAAAAGGAGGAGGAGCTTCTTTTGGGAGAAAAGTTTTGGGCAGCAATCACTTTGCAACTGCGCCCAAATGTAGGAAATGCATGGCACCTGAACAAGCATGGTGCGTTTGTCAGTTTTTGAAGAGCGTTTTGGGATTGTGGACAGGATCGCGGCAAATCTGTCCATGATGGCAAAGGATTGGGTTGTGAACGGTAACAGAGAAAAAAAATGGCAGTTGACTAGTGCAAGACTGCCTGGAAAGTGGTTAACTGAAATCCTATGCGGAGTAATATATCGCTACAGAAAGTGGAAGTGGATACAGAAAAAATGGCAGTTTGACTAGTGCAAGACCGCCTGGAAAGGGGTTAATTGAAATCCTATGTGCAGAAAAAATGCAAAAAAGTGGTTTAATTGGCAGTCAGAAAAAATGGCAGTTGACTACTGCAAGACCCTTTTTGTTAGGTGTGAACAGGCCTTAGTGTTATGATGATGAATAGGCCTCAGTGGTATTTTGCAGCTACACTGTAACCAGTCCAAGCTTTGTTTACATCAGGGGTATCAAATTGGCGGCCCTCCAGCTGTTGTGAAACTACAAGTCCCATCATGCCTCTGCCTTTGGGAGCCATGCTTGTAACTTTCAATCTTGCAATGCCTCATGGGACTTGTAGTTTGCAAACAGCTGGAGGCCGCCTGTTTGATACCCGTGGTTTACATTCTCTGAGCTTTGTTTACATTTTCTGAGCTTTGTTTACACCCTGAGTTTTAGGAGAACCCTGCAGAGCTCAGAAAATGTAGATTGCTTCTGCCTGCTACTGTTGAGGTTGGTGTCTCCAGTAGTCAGAATGGGAGGAACCAATAACCGAGTTATGAAGGCTTGTCCCAGCCAATCACTGAGGAGTTTGTTCGGTGGGGTGGGCTGAGGAAAGGTGAATAATATTTTGAGCAACCTTCCAAAGGGTTCTCTTCCCTGGAGCTTTCTGGTCAGAAGGTTTTTGTTCTAGAGGCTCAGAGAATTTTACCTTCCCTTCTAGAGGGTTTATCCAGAGAGAATTACTGGGGAGGACGTGCCACCCACGGCTACGGTTCCACGCGGACGTGCCACCTACCTTCTCGGCAATAAAATGACGTGCAACCCATCTGCTTGCCCATCTGCCGTCTTCTCGGCTGCTGTAAACTGATCTGGGCAGGTGCACCTCAGCTTACAGTAATGGGCCGGTCTCTCTCATCCTGCCCGGCCAATGAAGACAGCTGAAGACCAGGACACAGAAGATGATGATGGTGCGGGACCGCTGGAAAGGCGAGTATTAACCCCTTTAGTTCTGCTTTAAGATGAGATTCTGACTACTCTCACAGGGTCAGAGATCTGAACCATGACTACTCTCATGGCTTGTTCACGTTTACTTTGGACTTTGAAGAATGATCTATTTTTAAGTCGCTCTTTAGAGAGAATCTGACTGGCAGTGAGGAGGCACCATATCACCTTCTCACTGCCTGCTTTACCCCCTGAACCCCACGCTAGCTTGCCACAACTGCATGCAGTTGCAGAACAGCCCTATTCACTTACAGAGGACATACACAGGACCAATAGAATGGGTAAAATTCTCAGCTAGGACAAACACAGGACCAATGGAAAAATCCCCCACACAACGGGGGGAGAATGGGTGAAATCCCCGGGGCCAAGAGAATGGGTGAAATCCTCAAGAGAAGGAAACCAGAGAGAATGGGTGAAATCCTCAGAGAGGACCAAGAGAATGGTGAAATCCTCAGAGAGGAATGGGTGAAATCCCAAGAGAGAATGGGTGAAATCCTCAGAGAGGGCCAAGAGAATGGGTGAAATCCTCAGAGAGGGCCAAGAGAATGGAGAACAGAGAGGGCCAAGAGGTGAAATCCTCAGAGAGGGCCAAGAGAATCAGAGAGGGGGAATGAAATCCTCAGAGAGGGCCAAGAGAATGGGTGAAATCCTCAGAGAGGACCAAGAGAATGGGTGAAATCCTCAGAGAGGGCCAGAGATGGGTGAAAATCCCAGAGGGCCAAGAGAATGGGTGAAATCCTCAGAGAGAGGAAATCCCAAGAGAATGGGGGAAATCCTCAGAGAGGGCCAAGTGATAAATCCTCAGAGAGGGCCAAGAGAATGGGTGAAATCCTCAGAGGGGCCAAGAGATGGGTGCAAGGGCCAAGAGAATGGGTGAAATCCTCAGAGAGGGCCAAGAGAATGGGTGAAATCCTCAGAGAGGGCCAAGAGAATGGGTGAAATCCTCAAGGCCAAGAGAACGGGCCAAGCCAAGAGAACGCCAAGAGCCAAGAGAACGGGCCAATAGAACGGGCCAACGGTAGAGAACGGGCCAAGAGAACGGGCCAATAGAACGGGCTTCAGGGGAGCCCAAGAAGAACGGGC